CACTATTCTAAAAATTATCTACCCCCAAAAATTTAAATTAATGGGGGGCAAACAGGGGCTTAGTATCGCAGTCCAACAACTGCCATTTAACTATGAAATAAAATGGTGACTATAGCCATTCATCTAAGGTTTGAATCCAACGGAAATTATAGAAAAAAATCCACTTTTATTACAATTTTATAACACCAAACAAGCTTTAGCACTATTCATATACTAGATCATATCACCCCAAATAATACCACATTTCGTCTCCAAAAAATATTAAGGGCTCGATTGGAAAGCTTTTATAAAAAGTTCAGTAGATTTTAATAAAATATGTACCTGATAAGAACTATAAATCCAACAAATATGTGATTAAAATTGAAATTTGATCAATTGAAAAATTGACAAAACTTTATCAAAAAAGGTGTAAATAGTAAATAAAACCCTTGTTTAACAACCATTATTTGAGAAAAACAATGGTTTAAATAGTGATTTTTAGGAGAATGTGTAGTTAAAAAATAGGGAAATATTTTGAATTTACGTGTAGAATATTTTATTGTATGAATGCGTTTACTGAAAATGAGTACGTAAAAACATGGTAATTAAGGTCTATTTGAAGCCATATTTTTTCCACTTCAAACGCAAATAAATCCCCCTCCTTCTCCTTCCACCTCTCTCTCTCCCCTCCAAAACTTCACTTCCCCAACTCTTCCTCTAACTTTCTCTCTCTACTATCTGTCCACATACTATAATTCTCATCATTTCTTCACAATTGTCACTTCCTTAAGCTCTGTGTATTCGACAAGATATACAATAATGGAAAACCCATATTTTTTCCAAGGAAATTACGCCAAAAATGGTGACCATTTCATCATAGAAGACCTCCTAGACTTCTCAAATGATGATGTTAGACTCACTGAGGACACGTTTGATTCATCGGTCGGAGCCTCCACCGACTCCTCAGCCGCCACGGTGGTGGACGCCTCATGCAACTCCTCATTCTCCGGTAGTAGTACTACGACTGAACCTCATTTCCCCGGAGGTATTGGTGGCTGCCGGAGTTTAGCCGATGAACAGTTCTTTAGTACTGAACTTTGCATGCCGGTAAATAATTTTTTGCAGTTCTCTATGTTTATTTTACGTGCCTATGGAATTTTGTTTTGATGGCTTTTCAGTATTTTCTACATAGAAAAAAGAGTAATGTTATTCATCCTCAGTGAGGATGAAAACACAGTTTACATTGAAATAATTTAAACGGTCATAATTAAATGATTAAAAATATATACATGTACGATGATGATTGTACATTTTACAGTCCACATACTAAATTGGAGAGACCGAACATTATTAAAGAAAAAATATATACACATAACGTAATGAATAAGGTGAATATTCATCTTGATTGTTCAAGATCAATCGCCCAAGTGTCAATTAAGTGAATTTAAGTGATTGAACCACTTTGATGTAAGTATGTGCCACCCCATCTTAAGGATCAATCACTTAATTGACATTTATGCTATAATGATCAGCACTGTAAATGAATAACGTTACATCAACATAATAATATATTTTTCTAGTTTAGTATGAATCCTACCATGTCTAATTTTTTGTGTTCGTTTGGTAAGATTTTTGTTTTTTATAGAAGAGTTTATATGACTGTTATCATATGTCAGCTTCCTTTAAAAACTTATCTAACCAGACAAAACATTTCAGAAAATTATCTATGCATATTCAAAAACAATTTTTCAGTCTCATAAACAACTTTTTACTTTTCAAAAGATCTTGTCAAATGAGCATTATATAATGTACCTCGTATAATGTAAAAAAAAAGGCCGCCACATTCTAGTATTTCGAGTTAGTTAATAGTATGATTTTGATGTATTTTTACAGCATGATGATTTAGCTGAATTGGAATGGCTATCAAATTTTGTGGAGGAATCATTTTCAAGTGAGGAATTTCAGAGGCTGCAGCTAATACTAGGCATGAAGGCCCGATCCGATGAAGCTTCTGAAACTCGCCTATACCAATTTCATCCCGAAACCACCACCACTACTATCGACACCACCCTAATGCTTCGGCCTGAAATGCCAGTCCTCGCCAAGGCACGCAGCAAGCGCTCACGCGCCGCCCCTGTCAACTGGACGTCCCGTCTTTTAGTCCTGTCACCAACGCCAGTTTCTAGTGTCCCGGCAATGCCAGCCTCATCAGAGTCTGATATTGCCACGAACTCCGGCAAGAAAACAATGAAGGCAGTGGCGAACAAGAAAGAAGGTTCCGTCGACACTTCAACTACTGAAAATGACTATGAGGGGCGGAAGTGCCTCCACTGCGCTACCGATAAGACACCTCAGTGGCGGACCGGGCCTATGGGTCCAAAAACACTTTGTAATGCATGTGGAGTCCGTTACAAGTCAGGCCGGCTCGTCCCCGAGTACAGGCCCGCAGCAAGCCCGACATTTGTGCTCACTAAGCATTCCAATTCACATAGGAAAGTTTTGGAACTGAGGAGACAAAAGGAACTCATGAGGGCTCATCAACACCAACAATTTCTTCATCAAAACATTATGTTTGATGTATCCAACGGTGACGATTACTTGATTCATCAACATATCGG